AGGAAGGAAGGAAGGAAGGAAGGAAGGAAGGAAGGAAGGAAGGAAGGAAGGAAGGAAGGAAGGAAGGAAGGAGCAGCCCTGGACAAGAAAGGATTAAGAGAAGAGACATGACCCCAGCTGCTGCTGCCTCCTGCTGCTGCCACCCCCGTCCCCGCTGCCCTAGAATGTCTTTCGATGAATGGCCCTCGAGCCGTCCTCCTCGTATTCCTTCTTGGAGACCCACATCTTCTTGAATGTGTCCAACGAAGCCAGGATGGAGCCCCTGGGGGAGAAGACAAGAGGAGAGTCAAGGAGCTGGCACATCGCCTTGGCAACATAACACAGGTTAAGTCAAATAAGCCACATTCCTGCTGTTCAGGAAAGCTAAGTCATTATAAAACATGGTTACTACATTGGGGCTCCTGGTGGAAACTGCCTAGGGTGAGGAAGGGGAACGTTCTTACCCAATCCACGTTGAGTATAATCTCTCCTGAGGAGCCGAAATCTGGAAAGAGGAACACAGAAGCATGCTTAGACAGAGGGATCAAATCAAGATCACGCAAAGTGTTAATGCCACTTTATCATGCCTTGGTAAGGCCACACTTGGAAGAACGGCATCCAGCTTTGGTCACCACGATGTAAGAAAGATGTTGAGACTCTAGAAATAGTGTGGAGAAGAGCAACGAAGACGGTTAGGGGACTGGATGCTAAAACATACAGGGTTGCCAGAATTGGGCACGTCCAGTCTAGAGAAAAGAAGAACTAGGGGAGACATGATAGCAGGGTTCCAATCTCTCAGGGGCTGCCCCAAAGAAGAGGGAGTCCAGCTATTCTCCAAAGCACCTGAAAGTCAGGACAAGAAGCAATGGGTGGAAACTCCTCAAGGAGAGAAGCAACCTAGAACTATGGAGAAATTTCCTGACAGTGAGAACAATTAATCAGTGGAACAATTTGCCTCAAGAAGTTGTGAATGCTCCAACACTGGAAGTTTTTAAAAAGATGTTGGACAGCCATTTGTCTGAAGTGGCGTAGGGTTTCCTGCCTAGGCAGGGGGTTGGACTAGAAGACCTCCAAGGTCCCTTCCAACTCTGATATTCTATTCTATTCTATTCTATTCTATTCTATTCTATTCTATTCTATTCTATTCTATTCTATTCTATTCTATTCTATTCTATTCTATTCCTATTCTACTCTACTCTACTCTACTCTACTCTACCCCCTATATTCTATTCCTATTTTATTCTGTTCTGTTCTATTATATTCTATTCTATTCCCCAAATTCTATTCTATCCTATCCTATTCCCTATATTCTATTCCTATTCCATTCTATTCCCTTCTATTCCATCCCATCCCATTCTCTTCCCTTCTCTTCCATTCTATTTCATTCCATTCCATTCTATTCTATTCTTCATCCAACATTTATTCTATTCTATTCTATTCTATTCTATTCTATTCTATTCTATT